TGTCAAGTTTAAGTTGGTCATTTGATTTTTAGCACCACCTGCTGGATATAAATCAGACTTTTCACATCTGCAATGCACAAAAATACAGCAAATAAATAACATCAGGGAAGTTACTTAGTCAGTTCATCCAAACGGTGAGCAGTCACTCAACAATACTCCAGAACTACACACCTTGTAAGCTCTCCCAGTATAAATATACTGAGAGAGCTTTATGTGGTATAGTGCATGTGAATAAACAGGTCATCCTCGCCCAAGCAGTATACACCACTTTATGTCAGTTAAATCCAAAGAAAAACCATAACATACATGCACGCATAACCGACCAGGTCTGCACAGACACTACAGTCACTCACCAGGCAAAAGAGATTTAGATGGCTTTTTCAACCCTTCCTCACACCCCTCATGTTCAAACTCACATCCTTTTGCACTTCAGCATCCATTTAAAACAAAAACTCACCCTTAAAAAAACCACACACACACACACACACACGTTGTCCCATGCAGTATGAACCGGGTACCTGCAGACTGTGCGCAGACTTTACAACACCACAGATTAGTGTCTTGGTTTTCTGGGTTTTTATCTTTGGGAGAGACGAGGTTCCTACACAGGGATCCACCATGTTTTGTTTTTTTTTATGCAAAGGTGCAAAACAAATACTCTCATTTCAAAACATCAATAATGTAATGATTAGTGTAAAAAGTGGTATTTGAGTTTTTCTCAACTAAGTCAAGTAACAAATGCTTCAGTATATGTTTAAAGAAAACAGGCCCCTTTGTGTTATGTGACCTGACTCAGCAGCCCGGGTTTAACGAGTCAAACTTACATAATTATAGTGTGAATGACGGTCACACCAATAACCTTTAATAAATAAAGACAGTGAACAGGTATTTTAACAAATAACTTCCATGAGTTCTGTCTAAAATGCTCAGAAAGGACCCAACTTCTTCTCTCTAGAATGCAAAGTTAGTTTTTTTCTTGCACTTTTTGTGAGACTGAATTAAGAAAATAAAACCTATGCAGCTGTACCAGTTTGCTGGACCTGAAAATGTAAAGGAAAAATCCCAGTAACATCTCCTCCAGGCACCAAAACACAACAGACAACAATTACCAGTTCCAAAGTTCTAAATATCACTGAAAACAATACTTAAGTAACAATCCCCCACTGAAAAACTCACATTCCTGAAAGCTTTTTCTTGGCTTAATAATATGCAAGTGTCTGAAAACCGGAATAAATACTGACAGCTCATGTCAGCCAGTCCTTCAAAGTGAGTAAACCTAAATCTTATTGATACAAATTTGCATTATGAATCTTCGCTCAGCCAAATCATCCATTTTTATTTGATTATGTGAAAGCCTGAAAGGTGAGTATACTGCATGGTAATGTGGCCAAAGCACATCATTGTCCAAGCATTACAGCAACTGTGTCATGGTCTTTTATGAGCCGATACTGATCTGTAGCCCACTGGCCGGCACGACAGGTCACACTTGTTGTCGTACTAGTTGTTGAAACTGGTGTAAGGATGTCATCTAGAGGAGTTTGGACTCCACACACTTCTAGTAAAAGCTGTTTGGTGTGTTGGGGAAAAAAAAAAGACTACATCCTATTTAAAACATACACCCCACAATTATTCTGTTTTTAAAACAAGTTTCAAGGCCACAAAAAGATCAAATAGCACTCTCAATTTTTGTACCAGGACTTTACCAGATATTTCCAGACCTGTGTAGGAACCCGGAACAGACAAAGTCAACTGCCCATGGGAACGCCAAGTTGTATGCAGGTTGTTTAGGGTTGATTATTCCTTTAAGTAGCTGTGTTTTACAGTGGAAATAAAAAAAAGTTGTATATCTGTTTTAAGGGTTTACAGCACTCTTAAATGAAGCATTCACACATGCATCAAGGTGTTGATGTCAGGTGGGATGTTTCACTGTAGCGGATGTAATCCTTCACCTTGCTGTAAGTTGTGTTTCTGTGGAACGGGCCATGGATTGGGGACAGGGTCGTCATGAGTCAGTATAAAACAACTGTCCCCCCCCACCCCACCCCCATTTAAGGGCTCCCAGGGTGTCAAGCTCATCATCCACCTGGGTGGATGGGGGGGTCTTTGTCATTCTAGCTCTGTCCAAATGGATAGGGTCCATGAATACCCTGGAAAGAAATGAGAGATAATGTATTATTTACTAGTTTAATGGCCTTGTGTAATGGAACGAAACCTGACATACATATGTGAATATGAACGTACACATTTTTAGATCTTTTGAAATTGAATCAAAGCTGGATGAGGGGTCACTAACCAGTACCTGCAGCACAGGGGATGCATGTGAAAAACTTAGGACATTTAGGATCACTACTTTATTTTTAGAATGCAAAATGTCAGAATAATAAGTAGAGAAAAAGATTTATTTCAGCGATCACATTCCCAGTGGGTCAGAAGTTTACGTACACGCGGTCAGTGTTTGGTAGCATTGCCTTTAAGTTGTTTAACTTGGGTCAAATGCTTCGAGATGCCTTCCACAAGCTTCTTACAATAAGTTGCTGGAATTTCAGCCCATTCCTCCTGACAGACCTGGTGGAACGGAATCAGGTTTGGAGGCCTCCTTGCACACACATGCTTTTTCAGTTCTACCCACAAATGTTCTATTGCATTGAGGTCAGGGCTGTGTGATGGCCGCTCCAAAACCTTGACTTTGTTGTTCTTAAGCCATTTTGTGACAACTTTGGAAGTCTGCTTGAGGTCGGTCACTGTCCATTTGGAAAACCCATTTGCGACCAAGCGTTAACTTCCTGGCTGATGTCTTGAGATGTCGCTTCATTATAGCCACATAATCTTCCTTCCTCATGATGCCATTCATTTTGTGAAGTGCCCCGGTCCCTCTTGCAGCCAAGCACCCCCACAACATGATGCTTCACTGCTGGGATGGTGTTCTTTGGCTTGCAAGCCTCCCCCCTTTTCCTTCAGACATAATGACGGTCATTGTGGCCAAACAGTTCCACTTTTGTTTCATCAGACCAGAGGACATTTCTCCAAAAACTCAGATCTTTGTCCCCATGTGCAGCTATAAACCATAGTCTGCCTTTTTAATGGTGGTCTTAGAGCAGTGGCCTCTTCCTTGCTGAACAGCCTTTCAGGTTATGTTGATATAGGACTCATTTTACTGCGGATATAAACACTTTGGTACCTGTTTCCTCCAGTGTCTTCACAAGCTCCTTTTGCTGTTGTTCTGGGATTGATTTGTACTGTTCAGACCAAAGTATGTTCATCTCTTGGAGACAGAAAGCGTCTCCTTCCTGAGCGGTATGATGGCAGCATTGCCCCATGGTGTTTATACTTGCATAGTATTGTTTGTAAAGATGAGTGTGGTACCTTGAGGCATTTGGTAATTGCTCCCAAAGATGAAACAGACTTATGGACTTTTTTTCTAAGGTCCTGGCTGATTTCTTTTGATTTTCTCATGTCAAACAAAGAGGTACTGAGTTTGAAAGTAGGCCTTAAAATACATCCACAGGCACACCTCCTACTGACTCTAATGATGTTAGCCTATCAGAAGCATCTAAAGCCAATAGATATTGGATGGATGGACCAAAATTTAACCTGGCTGAGCCACAGGACCACCTGTCAGTCATTGCTTTCACAGAAGGCTGGTCAAGGAAGCATCAGGTTGCTTTGGAGAAGCAGCTTCGTCCAATGCTCCCCCAGAGTCAAACAGATCATATTAAAAATATATCATTTTTAAATATAATAATGGCTTTAATAAAACAATCTTATAAGCAGCTACCACAGCAAATGGTCGCTGTGGTGGATTTCTCTTTTACAACCACTGGAACTTCTTTTGTTGATTTAACGGGGATGTACTGATCCCGGTTCTACAGATCAGTTCAGGACATGCCCTGTAAAGTATGTCTGTTAGCAGTGAAAGGTGCTATAGCCAAATGTCAAATGGGGTGGCTGTGGCTCACGAGGTAGGGCAAGTCGTCTTCTGACCAGCAAGTCGGTGGTTTGACTCCCGGTCTCCCCAGATGCCTAAGTGTCCCTGAGCAAGACACTGAACCCCAAATTGCTCCCGGTGGCTTGACTAGCGCCGTTGTGTGGCAGCCTTGTTGTCATCGGTGGGTGAATGGTGTATAATCTCCCTGTAAAGGGCTTTGGCCAGTGCATAAAAGCGCTATATAAATACAGTCCATTTACAGTCCACATGGAGGCACCCTTAAAAGAAGGGCTTAAAACTGACCACAGAATTCACAGTAAACACTAAATGGATGTGTATATTGATTTTTTTTATTTGTAAATTAGGAAATGCTGCCTAAATTAGGAATGCTGCCATTGGATAACCCATGGTGTAGGGTTCTAAGTGTAGTTTTGTGGAGTATAAAACCTTAAATTTGATGCATACATACCTGTCCATAAGTCACCACAGAAAGATTGGTTTGGAGACTATTTGGCGCCCTATTTACAGCATGATGCGACAGTCCATTTTGATCTTGCTGGATTAGGAATGCTGCCATTGGATAACCCATGGTGTAGGGTTATAAGTGTAGTTTTGTGGCGTATAAAACCTTAAATTTGATGCATACATACCTGTTCATAAGTCACCACAGAAAGATTGGTTTGGAGACTATTTGGCGCCCTATTTACAGCATGATGCGACAGTCCATTTTGATCTTGCTGGATTAGGAATGCTGCCACTGGATAACCCATGGTGTAGGGTTATAAGTGTAGTTTTGTGGAGTATAAAACCTTAAATTTGATGCATACATACCTGTCCATAAGTCACCACAGAAAGATTGGTTTGGAGACTATTTGGCGCCCTATTTACAGCATGATGCGACAGTCCATTTTGATCTTGCTGGATTAGGAATGCTGCCATTGGATAACCCATGGTGTAGGGTTATAAGTGTAGTTTTGTGGCGTATAAAACCTTAAATTTGATGCATACATACCTGTTCATAAGTCACCACAGAAAGATTGGTTTGGAGACTATTTGGCGCCCTATTTACAGCATGATGCGACAGTCCATTTTGATCTTGCTGGATTAGGAATGCTGCCACTGGATAACCCATGGTGTAGGGTTATAAGTGTAGTTTTGTGGAGTATAAAACCTTAAATTTGATGCATACATACCTGTCCACATTTTGTGAAGTGCCCCGGTCCCTCTTGCAGCCAAGCACCCCCACAACATGATGCTTCACTGCTGGGATGGTGTTCTTTGGCTTGCAAGCCTCCCCCCTTTTCCTTCAGACATAATGACGGTCATTGTGGCCAAACAGTTCCACTTTTGTTTCATCAGACCAGAGGACATTTCTCCAAAAACTCAGATCTTTGTCCCCATGTGCAGCTATAAACCATAGTCTGCCTTTTTAATGGTGGTCTTAGAGCAGTGGCCTCTTCCTTGCTGAACAGCCTTTCAGGTTATGTTGATATAGGACTCATTTTACTGCGGATATAAACACTTTGGTACCTGTTTCCTCCAGTGTCTTCACAAGCTCCTTTTGCTGTTGTTCTGGGATTGATTTGTACTGTTCAGACCAAAGTATGTTCATCTCTTGGAGACAGAAAGCGTCTCCTTCCTGAGCGGTATGATGGCAGCATTGCCCCATGGTGTTTATACTTGCATAGTATTGTTTGTAAAGATGAGTGTGGTACCTTGAGGCATTTGGTAATTGCTCCCAAAGATGAAACAGACTTATGGACTTTTTTTCTAAGGTCCTGGCTGATTTCTTTTGATTTTCTCATGTCAAACAAAGAGGTACTGAGTTTGAAAGTAGGCCTTAAAATACATCCACAGGCACACCTCCTACTGACTCTAATGATGTTAGCCTATCAGAAGCATCTAAAGCCAATAGATATTGGATGGATGGACCAAAATTTAACCTGGCTGAGCCACAGGACCACCTGTCAGTCATTGCTTTCACAGAAGGCTGGTCAAGGAAGCATCAGGTTGCTTTGGAGAAGCAGCTTCGTCCAATGCTCCCCCAGAGTCAAACAGATCATATTAAAAATATATCATTTTTAAATATAATAATGGCTTTAATAAAACAATCTTATAAGCAGCTACCACAGCAAATGGTCGCTGTGGTGGATTTCTCTTTTACAACCACTGGAACTTCTTTTGTTGATTTAACGGGGATGTACTGATCCCGGTTCTACAGATCAGTTCAGGACATGCCCTGTAAAGTATGTCTGTTAGCAGTGAAAGGTGCTATAGCCAAATGTCAAATGGGGTGGCTGTGGCTCACGAGGTAGGGCAAGTCGTCTTCTGACCAGCAAGTCGGTGGTTTGACTCCCGGTCTCCCCAGATGCCTAAGTGTCCCTGAGCAAGACACTGAACCCCAAATTGCTCCCGGTGGCTTGACTAGCGCCGTTGTGTGGCAGCCTTGTTGTCATCGGTGGGTGAATGGTGTATAATCTCCCTGTAAAGGGCTTTGGCCAGTGCATAAAAGCGCTATATAAATACAGTCCATTTACAGTCCACATGGAGGCACCCTTAAAAGAAGGGCTTAAAACTGACCACAGAATTCACAGTAAACACTAAATGGATGTGTATATTGATTTTTTTTATTTGTAAATTAGGAAATGCTGCCTAAATTAGGAATGCTGCCATTGGATAACCCATGGTGTAGGGTTCTAAGTGTAGTTTTGTGGAGTATAAAACCTTAAATTTGATGCATACATACCTGTCCATAAGTCACCACAGAAAGATTGGTTTGGAGACTATTTGGCGCCCTATTTACAGCATGATGCGACAGTCCATTTTGATCTTGCTGGATTAGGAATGCTGCCATTGGATAACCCATGGTGTAGGGTTATAAGTGTAGTTTTGTGGCGTATAAAACCTTAAATTTGATGCATACATACCTGTCCATAAGTCACCACAGAAAGATTGGTTTGGAGACTATTTGGCGCCCTATTTACAGCATGATGCGACAGTCCATTTTGATCTTGCTGGATTAGGAATGCTGCCATTGGATAACCCATGGTGTAGGGTTATAAGTGTAGTTTTGTGGCGTATAAAACCTTAAATTTGATGCATACATACCTGTTCATAAGTCACCACAGAAAGATTGGTTTGGAGACTATTTGGCGCCCTATTTACAGCATGATGCGACAGTCCATTTTGATCTTGCTGGATTGGCTCTCGTGTGTGTTCCCAGGCTCCACCAGGACCTCTAAAGCTGCTGTCAGTGCCGTCGTGCTTGTTCTTCTGTGGTGAGGCAAAGGGGTTGAAGTCTTCCTGCACATTGCGCTGCGGTTGGGTGTTGAACTCTGTCTCAAAGGAGGACAGCTGCTGGGTCACACCAAGGAGACCTCCAACTTCTACACTAAGAATCACCCAGATTACATCTGTAGAGAAAAGAAGCACACACAAACAAGGGCTGACTATGTGACTAATGCAAGATACTTGTAGATTTCTCCATTTTGTATCGGTAAATAAAATGTTTTCATTTTGGGAATGTCGGTCAGACAAAAAATCAAAAATAAAAGCTTCACCTTGGGCTCAATGAGAGTTCAACTGAACTGTGACAAAGTAAAGATGCTCTAATAGTGAAAGTAAACGTTATTTGCAGCCCTAATAAACTGCCTCATTAGAAATTAAACACATCAGTGATTAATTCCTACCTCCGTAGAATAATCCGGTGGCTGTACACATTCTCCACTGGCCCTGGTACATGCCAGGAGTCGTGGGACTTCGCATCTGCACACTCACATCTGATATTTCCTGGGGGTCTAGAGACTTCACCATAACTGTGTTTACATGTCCAAACTGATCCCCACCAATGTACTTGAGACAAACCCCAGGTGGCCACGACTCTGCACCTGGAAGGTCCAAAGATTAGTGAAATCGAAACGCAGTTCAGCAACAAAACCCAGATGGTGTCATGGTGCATATTACATAGAGACGTTAGAAAGGCTACTAAAGCTACATGTGTGAATGCAGTGCCATGTTCCACACCTGTGTTTTGTATCCTCCAAGTCTTTGTGAATGGTGTATCTGGAGGAACAGACTCTCCTTCTCCAATTGTCACATCTTCAACAAAGGACATGGATGGTGTGTTGACATTGGGACTTTCAAAGTCATAATATGCACCAATAGCAGCCTGTAGGTTCCTGTTCAAACAGAAAAGGAAAAGCATGTTATCAAGATGATCATTTATAACAAATACTAGCTGAGTTACAGGACTCAGAGACCCTGGTCTCTCAAGCCAACAGACAGCCTTTCTAATCAGTTGCCATCACAAACTCTTTAACAATTTAATCAAGCGCAGCAGCCAAGTCTTCTGATACCGACAGTTAAAATGACCCTAAAATAGAATTCACTTAAATTTTATAACAATTTTGCAATTTGTGAGCCTCTTTTCAAGCAGAGCATTTCAAGGAAAATCCTGGAACTACTCGACAGACCATGAACGATGGAGCAACTCCTGGGGCAATACACTGTAAATACTTATAATCTCTTTTATTATCAGATTTTATTTATATATGAAACATTTATACTATAAATACAGAAATGAAATGAGTGAGAAAGAAAAACAATCGATTATTTAAGTAATATTTAAACAAAAACACTCAAATATTCCCTGATTCCGGTTTTATTTTTACTAAGATTTTTATATTAGTAAAGACAAAAACAAAGATTTTAAAGGATTTTAAATATGTTAACTTGAGGTGTGGGAAATTGTTGTGGGCATTTTGAATAGTTCACATTTTCTTTTGCTTTTCCTTTTTTTATAAAATAAAACATTTTACACTGGTGCTGTTTCATACAACAAGTGCCAGATATTTTATAACATCAGTGCACTCAGAAAAGTTGGCTCTTAAAAAGACTGGACAACATTGATGCATTTAAGGCACAAATATCCTGACTTTTAAGGTCCAAGTTCACTTAGCTGAGCAGGCCATTAGGTGGTGGAGAAGAAATTTCAGTGGTTCAGGGACAGTTTTAGATAAGTAACAACGATAAATGTAAACTGCGAGCTCTGATTCTCTGCTCTGCTGTGTTTGTCTCACACAGGTTGTGTTTTACTGAAATGTCAATATACACAACAAAATCCAACAGTAACAAAGAAAGTAATTAATCAAACACCTGTTTGCAGAACACAACTACAAACTTGCAGAAATGCAACACCTTCACTCTCCCCGCGGCCCTGTTCATCCACTAAACACATACAGCGCTCATTATGCTGACTTAGTAAATGGTTTTATACTTGTATAGCGCTTTTCTATGCATTGCAGCACACTCAAAATGCTTTCACACTATTTGGCCATTCACCCATTCATACTCCCAAGCACTCACACATTCACACACCGGTGTCATCACCAGGAGCAACTGGGAGTTCAGTGTCTTGCTCAAGGACACTTCAACATGTGGACTGGACAAGCCGGGAATTGACCCACTAATCTTCCGGTTAGGAGACGACACGCTCTACCTCCTGAGCCAAATGAGATGAATTCATGTGGACATGGAGGCTGAGACCGAGCAGCTCCTCTACAGCAGAACGGGAATGTGTCCAGCAAAGAGGACAGGATGAAGCCACAGAAAGTAGCCAGTTTAATGTAAAAGCATGCATCCTTGTTAAATCAGACATTTAAATTGCCAAGTGTGATACTATGTACTCCAAAACTTTGAAGTTCTGTGCAAAGTAGCAAAATGACTTCGTCCAAAAAAACAAAACAAAACACTGTATTAAAGTATGTTGTGTAGCAAGCTACAGAAATTCGATCAGTTACATGTTATTCAATAGGAAGGTTGGCAGTGCTGTGTTTGTTATCACAAAAGGTTTTCAGGTCATTTGCACAGCCTCCTATTACATAGGATATTTTATGTAAGCTTTTAAGAAAGTAAATCTCAAGGAAATAAAACTGTCTCTAACGTCACTAATTTTTATGGTAACTGTACTTTTTTTTAATAGTAGAACCGTTGAATCATTAAGTACATGTATTGGTATCTCTCCAAGTCATCTAACAGCTATAAATGTTAGTAAGCTATGTGTCCTCACTGCATAATAAGCCATCAGGAAACATTAGTCAGTCATGTAAACAAATAATTAATAAAGGGTTCTACATCAAGTCTGCAGCTGTAAGTGTGAGTAAGCAGGTTATAAATGAATTTTGGGCCAGATGTCCTGCAGCCCTTTTCCAGAAGACAAGTGAGCAAAAAGATCTATTGGAGCTGTCTCCATAATGAATTAAAGAGCTGATAAAAATACAACCTGGCAATGCAGATTTTCTCATTAATGGCTAACTTGTAAAGTATTTATCAATCAGTAATACAGCCATTAACTACAGCTAAAAAGTGGCAGAAAGCGGGCTCCTGAGCAAAATTGGTGGAGTGCTCCTTTACTAAATGTATGACTCCTTGATTTCCAGACTTTACTCTCCAACACGAAACTTGAACAAGACAAGACAATGGATTCTCCCTTTAAAAACTGATGTGATCAAAGCCATCTACCACTGATCAACTAATAACTTGGTCATCAGTTAATCAGGGACACAAGGACGTTTTAATCATGACCACTTGTTGTCAGCCGGTGATCGATCACGATTGGTTACGTCATCAAACTAGCGTGAAGTGAGTGGGGCTGCCTTGAGTTGTGGCTTCTCAAAGCTCACGGTTTTACTGGCCCTAGACACTATTATGTAATGTGGCAGATCTACACCAAGGGTCCCCTGAATCTAAATTAGCCTGCTAACTAGCTAGCTAACTAGCGTCAGTTTGTACTTTTAGTTATTTCACATTATTATAACTCAGCCTGGACTTAACTTTAACGTTTCACTTCCGTTTACCTGAGAAACGATCGTTAGGAGTTAACTGCCATTTCCCGTGTGGGATTAATGAAATGAGCCTACTGACTTTGAACACCACTCTAACTTAGTACTGTGTGCCCGCCTCCATGTTTTAGCATTTTAACGTATGCTAACTAGCTAATTATGCAGCTGGTTAGCGTCATATTGCTGTCCCGCCGCAGGCCTTCGTATCCCCGCACTCACCAGTTGGTCATGTCCAGGAAGAAGGCGCAGCCGGCTGGGTTCAGCTGGAAGCCCAACAGCCTCTGAAACTCCGAAATGAGGACGTCCTTGTCTGTGGTGCCCATGCAGCTGAACTTCTGCATGAGCTCCGCGTCCACGTCCATGTCCGTGCCTTCCATGGATGGTGGGTGTCCCGTAGCGGATACGGGGTGGTGTAGGGGAGTCCTCTCTCAGTTTAGTCCGAGGCCTTGTCCAGCCATAACAACCAGCTCAACAACAACAACCGTCAGTGCGCATGGCACTACAAGGGGGACGATGTTTGACGTTGCAACAGCCCGCGCGTCACCTTCGCCAATCACGTAGTAGGCGTCGACGTCATCTGTTGCTATTTGCAGCCACCTTTTCATTGGTTTATCAATGAAATCCGAGTTGTTCATTATCATCTCAGTACCAAATATATCAGACGTATCAGACAGTCTCCAGTATTGGCTTTCGTATGTAAAGCACTCATGAACAATTTATTGTATCTTATAAGGCCCTTCACCCCTCTTATGTAGGATCAAGATCCCTAAAGTGAAAGCACTAAATGCCTACAAATGACACCGCTAGGCCTATGTGCAATCACTTTGCATTTCTTTATGGTCAAATTGTGTTTCTTTGTGGTTATGTCAATGTGTTCATTTAGCATCTTGTTGTGTTTTGTGTCTCATAGTGGAAATGTCAGTTCAGTCCTGGATCATAGGCTTGTGCCTGGTAGGCCCATCTCCTAATCCTTCAGTGGAACCATTTTCAATTTTTTTTTTGTCAGTTTGTAATGTCTATGTCACCCCGAAAGAATTCGTTATTATAACAAATGACATTCCTAAAGGTGTGATGATGTTTTATCCACCCTTGCAGGACAAATCAGATCTCTCTTTCAAGATGACACCTTTCCAGAGGTAATCCATTTACAGTGGAAGGTTTGTCTCAAATATCTACAGGATAAAGGTTTGGATCTGCTCTTTCACACTGAAAGGAGAGAGCCAAGGTGGTTCAGGCCCCTGATTAGAATGCCTCCTGCACTTCCACTGGAGGTTTTCTAAGCACGTTCAACTAGTAGGAGGCCCCTGGGTTGATCCAAAACTCACTGGAGGGGATTATGTATTGCATGTAGCCTGGGAATGTATCAAGGCTTCCCAGGAGTAGGTGGAAAAAGTTACAAGCAAGAGGGTCATCTAGATCACTCTACTGAACCTGCTGCCCCCATGACCTGAGGATGATAATGTCATGGATGGAACCTATTTGTCCTTCAGAAAGACGACAAAATCAGTTTTACCATGCCTGTATGAACTTTCAGCTAAAATATTTGAGAAGTACAAAATATTTCTGTTCATATTTTAAACTTGTACCCTCTTTCAGAGAGAAATAAGCTATTGAACTTTTTACTCAACTACATTTATTTGGCATCTGTCACTTGGAAGGATGAATTATTACAATGACACTTTTGTAATATATTATGTATTGTATAGGTTAAACTTCCAACTTAATTTACAGGTAGCAAATTAAAATGAGCTCCATTTTTACCAGTGCCACCATTATAATGCTGTTTACATTGGTACTATTCAAAATACACAATTCAAAATATGTCTGCTGTTCTGCTGCCCAAGGAGTACAAGTGTTTTTATTTTAGGCACATTTTGCTAATAGTACTTCTGTACTTCTTCTTAAGTAAATTTATGAATGCATTTTACTTGTGAAAGAAAAATGTATTATTATTATTATATTACTTTTACCAATTACATATAGCCAAATTCTTCCACCACATGCTTACTATATTTTGTCCTGATTTTGTTTAGTAATGAATACAGTAGGTTTTGACTTGTTAAATAAACCATTAAAAATGGTCATGAAAGGCACACCTATAGTGGGTAAGATCTTTAATGATAAATATGTGTTGAACGCGAAATTCAGAGACTGAGACATCTTGGCTGTTATCACCTTGTGCTTTACAAACACATCAACTGTCCAGCAAAATGTTCTTATCTTGTCAATTACTGTGCAAAAAGTAACTTAGGATCTTTTAATTTACAAATATCGATGTTTGCTGATTTTCGTGTAGTGTCTTACCTCTGAATGATTTTTTTTTAGCTAAACAACTTCCAGGCGGAACCAACTGTAGGTAACGCTTGTATCTGGTAGGAGTGTATATTAGGAACGCCGGAAACGTGCTTTCGATAGAGGTTACTGTGAAACATGCCTAAGTAAGTTCAGATTTTATTATATTAACATGCTCAGTCTCTGAATTTCGTGTTCAACACATATTTATTGTTAATATTTGTACTATATAAAGAATTGCGTTAAAATATACTTTGAAAACTAATGAAACAGACCGATTTGTTACCCGATGAACGCCGGGAGCTTTGTTTGGGATGTGTCTATGTGCTGGATTGAACCTCGTTATGAACATAACATTTACCAGCGAAAGACAGTCACAGATTTGTGTAATTAATTGTTTAATTGCTTAAAGTCGAAATGACTTAGTTCAGGGATATAGGAATGGCTGAAAAAATAATCCCAAAACAAGATCTCGCTTGTTCTGGAGTTTTCGACCGTATCTCGCCGTGCTCATCGTGCCATTGAGCTTCATTACAATAAAACCATAACTGTTCCTCTCTTTTGAATAAAGGCGCTCGACGTAATTAATTGGCAGCTATTTAATTTGTTGTTTTTTAAGCATAAGTCATTAGCATTTTTACGTGTGCTTGTCAAAATGTTAGGGTTTTATGTTTCTCGATGTGACCGTAAACTGAATATCTTTGGACTCAATTTCGATTCAGAACATTTTTTAACGGGCTGCAAATCAAAACGCACCACAAGTATTATGAGTATCAAAAACAAAATCACTTTAAACTAAAACTAATTTGATACAAATTTGAATCAAGGGAAGAAATCTGGGTCCAAGATGAACTTTCAATTAAGATATTTAAATTATTCGAATTTTAAACATAACCTGCAGAACAGTGAGCTTTTGTGTTGGACAACTCAAAACCTATTGTCAGAAAATGAATTGTCTCCTGGGATAATTTTCTAATCCAGTGGAAAGTTGTATCTTCATAATGCATATTGTAGATCTGAGACAGCAGTTGAATCAGTATAGAATTTTAGGACAGATGAACGTCTTCAGTTCCAGATTGTTTGGTTGGTTGGTTGTTTGTTTTTTTGCTCAACTCTGTTTTCTCTTCTATATTTCACAGGTTTTACTGTGACTACTGTGACACGTACCTTACACATGATTCTGTAAGTTTGTGTGCAACACATGCTTCCTAAAATTGCTTAAGGTGTCAAAGAGCCTGTTGGCCATACATTGGTATCCTGTTGATTTGTTCCAAATGTGGTTTTATTTCCCTTGTAGCCATCAGTGAGGAAGACCCACTGCAGTGGCAGAAAACACAAAGAAAATGTGAAAGATTACTACCAGAAATGGATGGAGGAGCAGGCTCAGAGCCTGATCGATAAAACAAGTAAGCCAACTGTTGTCTCAGTTATCCAGAAAACAAGTTAAACGAACCTAGGAACACTAAACAACTGCACTTGTAGTTTAATTCTTAGAGACACTTTTCTGTTAATCCAGAATACATCTCAGTCAGAATACATCTGTCCAGGACAGATGAAATTCTAAATACCCTGCAACCAATATGGTGAAAGCTATTTTTCCCAGTTACGCTTAACCAGGGAAACTCAGAGAGACGAGGCGGTCCAAGTGGATACAAAAAACCGTGCTGGTTTATTCAAAGGATCACAGGCAAAATTAACATTACACGTCCAGGTATCTTCCACCTCCAATACTGTGCGCAGGCAGATGAAGAATGAAAGCCCCTGAACCACAACAGGCCTATACATTTATCTCTTCGGTTGGGCTAGCCCCATACTACACAGGAATGTCAAACCGTGGCGTCACCTGATATGCCAGCTTTACAGCTGACCGTAGCAGTAGTCAAAACATGGAGAAAATCAATGTGTGTGAGTGTTGATTAAGTGGTGTGTATCTAAGAACATTCTGACATAACATCTAGTGACATGTCATGACATTAAACACAAGAAAATATTATGATTACAATTACGGTTAAACATATCATAATAATAACAATAATCATCCTGCCTGCTGACAATCAAACTTTTCTATCTCGTTATCCTTGGCCACGTACACCCTGCTAAAATCTCATGACAATGACTAAGCATTTAACAGCCTACCTAGACATCCCGTCTTCACTAAACGTTTCTAATACAACAAGTATCTAACCAATTTCTATCTGACTAAAAAATACCTAACAATGGCTAAGTCTTTTCCTAGACAATTTGCTGAGTGTGAAACACAGAATCATCAGCTTTTGGGGATAGCTCGTGTGCAATAAATTTAACTTGAATATTAAAGTGACTGGTAGCGGCACCAAAATCTAACTCTTGATTAATTTGGTTGAGCATTCATCCATTTACATTCATGATGGGCATAGCATGATTTTCTTTGCCATATTTAGTGCCCTGGCCATATTTAGTGCTACAGCCCACACAAGACCTGCTTATTCATGTATGTGGGGGATATCCAAGCTCTCTGTTTAAATGGTGCACAGTTTACCTGGGCCCTTAATTCGTTTGCTTTGGTCCGAATCAGTTGACGAGTTTGTAAACATGTAGCAATGTCTCCTTGGTTCGGTTTCGTTTCACACACAGAAAAATCCAAGCGCACCAAAACACGTCACGTAAAACTACGCGAAAACGTTCTCTCCGCTTATTGGTCAGATGTGTCTGCCACGAGAACAGAAACAGTACGTTTGTGTGACGAGAGAGGATGGAGGTCAACATATACTGGTTGGGCCTCGCCCTGGTTATTTTGTATTACGTTACTTGCATTTACCACTTAAACCAAGTCAGACATTTTGAAAATGAAGCGCGGTTACGGCTGGAAAACAATGTATTGATGCAATGGAGTCGCAGAAGACGCATATCAGGGCAATACAGGAGGCAGCGTGCGTGGATATTATTGAACTGTCATATGTTAATCAGCCGAATCATGTGATTCACGGCCTTTGGTCCCGTTTTGGTTTGGTACGCGTTCTCACCAGGAGGACCGCACCAGAGTTCGCTAGATGATGCGGATCGAGACCACCTCCTTTTGGGGGTCTCGGTGCGGTTGTTTTGGTGCGCACTCGAGTGCGATTACCGTGTTCACACCAGACAAAACGAACCGCACCAAGAGGGAAAACGAACTCTAGTTCGATTCAATCGAACTAAACGCTGTAGGTGTGATGCACATAAGAGATGGAAAGTCACAGTAATGGGTCCACATCCTTTTAGCATGTCAAGTGTAAAATGGCTCCTTTGTTTTCAAAGTAGACTTTTATAGCTGTGGTTGTGTTTTTTTGTAGTTTTCGTTTTGCGGTATGTTGTATCACAAAGTTTGCACCATATAGTGTTTGTTTTTTTTTTTTTGTTATACAGAAATGTTATAAAGTGCCCATGTTGCTGTTTGTGTTGTTTGCATTGAGTACATGGAGTATTAAACAGGCTTAATTATTTCTTTACAAACACAAAAAGCAGTGAGAAGCTTGCATGTTGTATGTGAAATATTTATATGGGTTTTGTTTGTTAATTTTTTGTTGTCTCCCAACAGCGGCTGCATTTCAACAAGGAAAGATTCCTCCTACACCGTTTCCCGGTGGCCCTCCTCCAGGTGAGTCCACCTCAGCGGTAATGTAATGGACTAACCATTAAATGGACTAACGTAAATGCCTGTTGATTGAAATATTTACCCTTTGGTGCTGTGAAACGGATGATATGGGCAACAGAAGCATCACTGCAGGTCGTGTGCTGATGCTATGCTGTGTTCCATTTACCTCAGAGCTCGGATGTTGGAGCTGGGAATGTTTTTTAATGTTAATCTGTAACCTTCATTATATGCAGGGTATACATTTCACCCAGTCATTGCCCTGGCATCTGGCCGTGATGCCCTGTGTATCTATTGGAGCTACATGGCCACAGTGGCTGCTGTGCCTTTATCAGAGCTGAGGAGCGATCTCTGTAAATGATCGTTCATGTTCAGTTACTCACATACATGTGTGTTTATAGAGTTATTAAGGAGAACGCTGCTTAATAAAGCATATCGCCCAGGAGCGCTCCTCATAAAACCTCTGTGGTTCATGTAAGTTGGCATAATATGCTGTAGAATTTAAGGTTATTGACTCTTTGACACTGCTTGGCAACCTTAACCTTTTAGGAGCTGGTTGTTCTGGCCTTATGCTTGCTACATCTTTGTGCTACTTTTAGCTCAGAATGTGCATCAATCAAGCTACAGTGCTACGAAAAGGTTTCCTTTAGTTTTACTGGATAAGCAGAACGAAGGATGTAATATTTGGCTCTGTCTATAAGCTGTAAGAAGACTCAGGCTGTAACACGTTACATGTAGTGTTGAAATGTACTGTGTTTTTTCTGCTATTTGAAATCCTCCATATGCTAAATAAGTGCTAATATTGTCAATATTGACAACCAAGTGAAAACCTTAATAGGCAGCCATTACACATTTATGATAATTTAGATGAGAGAGTCCATCTTTTTGGCCAAGAATGGCCCTGAAAAAAGACAGACGTACTATTTGGGAGAGCATAAAAGAATAACAGAGCCTGAGAGCGACTGCCCCTTTTCTAAAGCGTAGAGTTGACAATCTTGGTTTAATAACAAAATAAATTTCAACATAATACAACAACTGCCAGTAGCCAGATGTTTCAAAAGGCATATAAGGTCTGAGCATGTAAGCATAATGAAATGCTGTGGCAGACACAGACATTAATGATTAATATGTAGGCAGCCAGTGCTAACCAAGCGCCTCAACTCGGTCCGGCGGTCCAATTATAGTCATCCACCGGCACCTCTGGACATTAACAGAAGGATCAAATTATCATTCGGCCTCTGCAGTAAACTACAACGTTGCTCCGCTTGGTAGATATTTACAACACTGCAGGCATTAACAAGGCAGGGTTGCCATCATTATGGGGTAAGAGCAGGGGCCATGCATGGACCTGTCATAGATCAGGCATGGTTCCACTGTGATCCAGCCAGAAATTTAAGGTGGTTGCATCTGTACATTATTGTCAAGTATTCTTGAAGCTTGTGTCACAACATATTTCAGACCAGTGTTTAGACAATGAATAACCTTTCCATTCACAAATTACCTTCATCTGTCAGAGTTAGCCACAGATTTTTGTCTACAATTAAATGATCTGTTTAAACATTTTAAACAACGCATTTCCGTAGGTGTGTTTGTTTTAAGTCAGAATTCAATGCAAGTTAAGCCCTTGATGATAATGACTTATTGTGATCCGTCTGAATGTGATCAATTTGTGAGCATAGCACATGATCTTGGCTTTGTTGTACTGGATCATTTGCTATTTGTAACACAGGTGGTCCTCCTCGCCCAGGCATGCTGCCAACACCCCCCATGGGAGGGCCGCCTATGATGCCCATGATGGGGCCTCCACCACACGGGATGATGCCTGCTGGGCCTGGTAAGAAAAATGTTTCTTAGACAAACCTTTACTCATTCCTAATGTGTTTAACATGACATTTAAAGGTGCTTGCAGAAACAGTGTTTTGCGTAGTTTAAGTAGTTTATTTCAGACAAGCTTGTGCTTGTGCTTATACTGTACGTCTTGTACAATGAGCCTATTAATTTCTATTTCACTCTGGCACATTTTTTATTAGATTGGATCAAAAGTATGATATTAACCTAGTTTTTCTAAGGGATGTACAAGTTGCACTGATGTGTCTTTTTTTGTTGTGGTGTAAATCACCGCCTAAGCTGCATATTCCTTTGCTGTCACTTTTATAAGGCATGAGGCCGCCGATGGGAGGACCCATGCAGATGATGCCAGGACCACCACACATGATGCGTCACCCTCGACCGATGATGACGCCAGTCAGGCCAGGCATGATGCGACCAGACAGATAAGACGGAGTGGATTTTCTCTGTTCTTTGTAGGCACGAACAGATGTGGTCTAGTGAGGACACTTGGTCTCACACTTGGGTTTATCAGTGTGACTCAATTCTCAAACATCCACCACGAATCCCTGATTGTAATTATGTAATTTTTTGCATAATTACAGTTATTTTCTGCCTGGCTTGTGGTATTTATTACCGTTCACCTCAGTAGAAATCAGTCAACCACATTTTAATTAAACATCCTCTCCTGTGTTTGTGTCAAAATTAAATATCTCCTCTCACCCTGACAAACTGGTTAGCTTGGACATTTAAAGACTGGTTTTGATTTGGCAATTTTTTTTTTTGATATTTTTGCTTTTAGCTTTGACATGTCATTGTTGTATTTCATTGTCATTGCTTTTGAGGAATTAAAGTGCTTTCAAACCTTCTTTGACTTTGTAGTCCTATCAACACGGCTCATTTTGAATGTTTTAAAGGCTTTGCACTAACACAGAGCGGTTACTCCATTTACTAGAGGCAAACTTATAGGACAAACAACATAGTCATTTTATATAGACGTACAGTGGCTTATACTAAACAGCTGTGATGAGAGCAGTGACTGAACCAAAAGTGTATATTAATATCCTGAGTATCACCAGTATGGGCTCACAGAAAACGAGGAGGAGAAGGGCTTAAGGAAGCCTGTTAATTGATGAACTATTCACACAGGTTTGACTGTGACCGACAGCCTGGCAGATCTGCCCAGATTTGCTCCAAAGGATCATTCTGGGTTCTGTATTCATGAGGATGCATCTTCTTTTGCTCACACTCAACAGCCTTGGTTGAATGAAAAACGATCATCTCCTGACTGCCAGTTCCTCTAAAGCCACTTGGCTCATAACTGCATGAAGACCAGGATGATGCTTGTGAGTGTGGCTTGCGGGGGTTGACTGCACAGGGTTACTGAGTGGGCTATTGATTGAAATAATCAGGGAGAAAGAAATCGGTCTGAAAAGCAAAGATTTTGGTAGTCTTTCAAAGCCCCCCTGCTGCTCCTTTTCCTCCTCCCTTCTGTCTACCCCCAGCTCTGTTTCAACTCCCTCTCCTCCTCTTTCCTCTTGTCTCATTCTCTCTGCTGTCCTGCTACCGCTGCTAACACTACTCTGTAATTTAATCCATTTAGTCATGGCTCCAGATCAATATCCATTTTCCTTCGCCTTAGGGAGAGCCACATGAATCTGCTTGTTTCAGTGGTTGTGTTGACCAGCAGGGGCTCCCGTGGGCCTGCAGGCCGATACAGACGTAGCACACCGCACTATCAGAGAAAACAAAGCAAAGCTGCTATGCTGTATGAAACACAGTTGTAGATGTTGAAGCTTTAATTCTGTATTTTCACACTTTTTCCAACTTTTTGTTGTACATTACATAAAACCAGTGGCTTTCCTTCTTCTAGATCACAGATGAATTACTCTCTTCCACTGAGATGTTGAAGGGCAACGCCTGGCTGATTAGCAAATGAATTACATCAAATCAGTTCCAATTAAGGCTAATTTGATTAGTGGGTCTTGTAAGTGACCAAGAAGAAATATGGAGTTTTCATTCCTTTTCCCTCCAGGAGTGGTTTACTGTCGGCACAGTGTAGCATTTACTGGGATGGCCATGGGAAAGACCATGTCCATATTAATCTTACTATTTACCAGCTTAAAGCTAATCTTCATTTTGGTTGCTCGTCTGCCCATGACCTAAACTGTTTGCTTCCAGCCTGCCTGGCATCAAACATTTTTGCTTCTGACCAAGTCTTGTGGGGTAAAGTTCCCCTCTATGGCTTGCTAGCTAATCCTGCAAAACACTTACCTGAGCCCAGGTGCTCTCCCAGTCTGCTTGCTCCAGGTACTTTCTACAAGAGAACTCTTACTGGCACATACTTACACTCGTGTTGGGACCAAGACTGCCTGTAAGATATATTGTACTTGTATGTTTCAGGCCTACTGTGTTATCTACTGCAGCCAATTGCACAATAATCTGTGTTTTTGTTCCTGCCTGCAACACTCACCCCAGAAAACACTGCTTACAGTAGTCTGTCGTTCACTTGCACTGTATTACTTACTTCTCCTGTCAGAGGCATTATCCTGCTTGCCTGCCTCTGAACCCGTTTTATTACCACCTGCGTTCCTCATTATTACTTTACAGTGTCCATTTCACCTTCTAAGTTGAAGTTATACTGCTGTTTACTGCCATTAAAGCCTTGTTCATTCTTCATCAAAACCACCTTGTCTTTGTTTCTGTGCATTTGTTACTCATTTTACCAGCCAGCCTGAAAACCTTAGATGCTTTTTCATCAGCTTTGCTACTTCTGTGCTTCATGCTAGTTGCCAAAGTGATACTGTATGTACTTCCAAAAATCATTATATGGATTTCTGAGTTTCCACGGATTAAGATGTGTTATTGCTGTTGCTGTTGTGCAGGAAATAAAGGTGAAGCCTCCTACTCTGTCTTTCTTCCTACCAGGAGCAGCATGAACGATGTAACCTTCAGTTCAGTTCTTTTCATTTGTACACAGTTGCAACATGATAAATCCAGAATGAAAGTGCAAAATCTGCAGTTTTGTTCATAATGGTAGTGGAAGATTGCCAGCAAACATAGAGGAGAATTTTCATTTGCTTCAAGGGCGTACTCAAAGCGATCCTACGTATCCCAAAATTGTTTCTATCAGGAAGCTCTGACTGAAGTGTCGCTCTGCTTATCTCACATACAGATTTTTCTGTTGTTCCCTTCTGTCAGTCAATATGCATCCAAGGTGAAACTGAAAAACCCCATCACATGCTACCATCTTGTTCATAGTGTTTAATACAAGGACTCAGCTCTTGTTCGAAATTAGCAAAACCTGTCTTTATCAAAGTATATGAGAGCTTGCTTTCCACTAGGTAATGTTCATTTTTTGCTTCTCTTTTTGCCAAAGATTTGAGTTGGATAGCCAGCTCCGTGTTCAACGGACCTATTCAAGCCCTTACAACTAAACCCAAATGAGGCTCATTTTTATTCTTTCTTCTGTGAATACACTGACTTTGTACTGCCCTTAGAGCAGTTGTGTTGTCAGGTCATGCTTCTTTGAGGAGCTGTTTATTTGAAAAACAACATATTTCAGGCACACATAACAAAAAGAGCAGTTTCTCTTTCTAAAAATTAGAGTGACCCCGCAGAAACAAATCTTCTGGAATGTTACCTTTGTCATAACAGCAAGAACTGAATACTAGAGCGCCGTCCTGCCTTTTACTCTAGCAACAAGTGAAATTGCTTCTAAAAATCTGCTCAATATAGAGTCAAGGGCAGAATCTATTTTTATGGAAGGAAATGATTCTTTCTCTCTAAAGTTCTTTGATGTTCAAAAATTAAAAGCACTAAAAGCCTTTGGGTAAGTGCTGTCTAACTAAAGATGTAGGCAGCTTTAGCCATAGCAGTAAATGTTTTCACATAAAAGAATGGCTTTTTTGAGAGATTTCAGACAGTAGACAGGGTGTGTACAACAGGGAGAGCAGTATTATAGTAAAAAGACATTCCTGGACTATTTTCTGCCTTGAATATGTGCAAATACGTATTTTATAAATTGATTTCCCTTCAGCTATGAACAGTGATTAATGTCTTTACTCTCAACACGTGTCCTTAATCTATCTTAAACTGCTGTGTGAGCCATCAAATAATGGAAGTGGATTGTCTTACAGTATCACCTTCCTGAGAATAAATTACTTGAGTCTCAGCTGAATATATTGAGCTTGTCTGATTGATTCATGACTGACAATAACATTCCTATCATGAAGACATATATCTCCAGTACTCTCTGGATATGGAGCTTGTCAAGGGGAGCTATTATGGTGGTGTTACACTGAAAATGACCTGGCTGTGTGCTGTCTGAATTATATGTGGATTAATTACCCTACCTTCTTATTCTGGCTCTCTGCAGCTTTTGCCAACTTGTTCCCAACATCCCTTCTTCCCTTTGAATTTGAATGTGTCCCTCCTTCATTGATAAGATGCAGTGAGTTGTTAGTTATTAGGTTAAATGGAAAATGTTTGCCCTTTTTTAGCCTTTAACTTGTAGACCGACCGCCATAAATCAAGGAATGTGTTTAATCTGTCAGTGGCCATTGTCATTGACACCTCCCTCATGGGAAGTTCAGAAACATGGAGCTGTGCCCATTGTTTTCACTGAAAGCAGCACAGAGAGCATTTACCCAAACACAGGAAGCTGTGCACGTCTCTGGCTTCAACGCTAACATTTACCCATGCATGCATTCATCCACATACTTGTGCAAACATGAAAGTGTGCGTATACACTGAAGGTGAACACACACCTGCATGTACACACATCCCTCATGCACACAGGATATAATGCCAAAATGCTGTTCTTGTCTTACATTCAAATGTAAGAGTGGGATTCCTTTGAGCGCATTGATTTTGATCTTTCCAGCATACTAAATTTATCTCTTTTCATCTTTATCCTTATGCGGCTGGAAGAGGTTGTTTGGCACATGATGCCATGCAGTGTGATAGAAAAGAATAAGCAATCCCTTATCACACTCAACCAAAAACTACTTTCCTTTTGAAAAGGAAACACCCGACCGACACTGCCATCCCTTGAGCTATGGTAGAGTAGAACTGCAGAAGTACCAGTTGAGAATTTCCAGATCATTTTACTGCCCATTTTTCTACTACCTACAGATGCTACAGATGTTATTGGTAAGAGGGTATTTGAGGAAATTCACAGAATAATTGAATGAGATTAACCCAGTTAGCTGCTGAGATTAAGATTGTATCTCTACCCTTCACTTTCTATTTCTCACCCCCATCTCTAACTCTGATGGATATCTAACACTATGTCTTCACTCAGCCGTTCATACTTCTCTTTTTCTGCTCGTGTCTATGGGAAAGCTTTCACAGGAACCGCATCTTTAGCCATTGCGAGCTAACAGCAGGTAGTTTTGCTCTTGCCTCTACTGAAGTGACTTATTTCATCTCTCAGCTTTGAAGTCACCTTTGTACTGGAATAAGTGTCATTACAAAGCGAGATGCACATGCGATAGCTCCAAAATAATACAAATAATCACCGTGACTGTCTGGATAGTGAATTTGTTTGGAGGTTATTTACAGTTTTTCTCAGTCGCTTTGGTACATGTCTTGAATCATCCTTACAAAATAGTAAGAGCATCTCTCCCAAACAGTTCGTACAAACAGCATTACACAATAGATTACCTGTAAAAGTTTGTCACTTGCTCAAAATGCTTAGTTTATCTCTTAAAAGTAAATACTTATGTCAATGAACATGTCAGTGCCTCAGAATGACCCTGTGCTATTGTTTACATGCTAGCCAGAATGTCTAGTCATGTTGTCAATATATTGTATCAGTGTACTTTGGAAGTATTTTCTTATGCAAACTATGGCTCAGGTTTCGAT